GGGAGGGAGGGAGGGAGGGGAGGAGAGGGAAGGAGGGAGACGGATGGATGGGTGGGGTGGGTGGAAAGGAGGAGGGAAGGGGAGATGGATGGATGGGTGAGTGGGGGGGTGGATGGATGGATGGATGGATGGATGGATGGATGGAAGGAAGGGTGGAAGGAAGGAGAGAGGGAGGGGAAGAGAGAGAAGGGAAGGCAGGAAGCCTGGTTGGTTGATTTAGAGTCCCATCTTAACTGCTCATCACAAGTGGAGAACATGGTACTCCAATTTAATTCTTGAGGGAATGATGTAAGAGAAAGTGACCCCAAATGATCTTTTCCTACAGATGTTCATGTCCATATAAATCCACAGCAGGCCTGATCATCCATAAGTTACTTAGGGCTTTAATGGTTAACACCATCCCCTTAATCGTATCCTAAAAGCATCCAGCTACCAACGCAGATTCTCCGGTGCGGACATCAAGATGACCTCACTGGCTTTGCTTTCATACTACCCCCCCCATCCCCCCCAAAATACTGAAGCTTTGGATTACTTTTCAAGGGTAGTCCTACACTAAGTGCATCACAGTAGTCTAGCCACAAGGGAAGTAAAGCATGGATAATCAATTCAAAAGTGAACGTTGCAACTAGCAGACTACATGTAGATGTTCAGATATAGTCCTGACACTGTTGCTAGCTGGAGAAGTAGTGCCTGCTGAAAATTGAGTCCTCGGCTTTGGTCAACTCTCCAACTTTGCTCCATTCTTCTGGGGGCCTTCTTCCTACAAGTCAAGGCCCCCAGAAGGGAGGGAGGGAGGGAAACCCCAAAACCAGTTGTGCCCCTCAGAAGGCCTCCTCCTTATCCAACAGCTGCACAGGAGAATGCATTAGCTTGATTTCTGTCAGCTCTTCCAGGGCGGGCAATTTCCTTGAGTTACTTTAATCCTGTGGGTTCCCCATGGATGGTCCCATGACACCCATTCCCAAGCTGGTTGGCACATCCCAGATTTACCAGGACAGCCCTTCAAGGCTCTTGCAAACAGCACTCCTGGCACATCTGGAGGGCCCAGGTTAGCAAGAAGCAAACATTAGAAAATCAATGAATTCCTGGAAGGCACGATGCCCCCTGACATCCAGGGAACGCTTGCAGCAAGCTTGGCAGAGAGGCGGGTTGTGATTCCACGCACCAGAGGAATCGACCCAGCTGGTCTTCCAACCAGCCACGTACCGGTGACAGAAGAAAGCGCCCCTTTACCTGTTGCTGGGAAGTCACCCAAGCTGCACAAACCATCATTTCTACTGCCCCGCAACTATCTGCAGTCACAACAGAGGTGCTATGAGCAGAGTTCGATGCTTGAGGTATTCAGCCCTGGGGACTCTATCCTCAAACCTGGCCCACCAACAATTTTAGGAGCGCCCACCCCCTCCTGCAGCTGTCCCCCAAAATGCCAGAAGTTGAATCTGAAACACTTTGCACCCAAAGTTGTACCACTGAATACAGGCCTCTCCCCACTAGGCTGACAAAATGGCCTGTGGCACGAAGCCACAGCCAAGGGAGGGACCTCAGACAGGCGTTGCCTCGATTAGTCCTTTTAAGGACTTAGGCATGCTCTGCCCAGCAAGGAAATGCCATGTTCAGCCGCCGGGTGCCAGCTTTAAGGAAGCACTAAGGAATGGCTGGCTTTCACACCGAGCCTGCCAAAATCCAGATCTTGATGCATGCATTATCCCAAGCCATGGTTTAACTGTGGTTTACTGAGTATGCCACCACTTGCTGGACCAGTGTTTCTCAACCCTGGCAACTTTAAGATGGGTGGGCTTCAGCTCCCAGAATTTCCCAGCCAGCATGCTTTAAGATGGGCGGACTTCAAATCCCAGAAATCCCCCCACGCACCCACCAGGTCGGGGGCGGTTAGGGGGGTTGGAGCGGTGCACCATTCATGTGTAAACCGGTGA